TGCTGGTTGCAGAGCGGGGCACCGCCGGGAGCCCCGCTCAGCCGCAGCCGGCGAGAAGCGTCGGGCCCGGGGGCCAAGCAAAACGGCGCCCAAATCCAAGGAGTTCATCGAAACTGAGTCTTCGTCCTCATCGTCCTCCTCCGACTCGGGCTCTGAGTCGGAGCGGGAGGCGTGCCCGCTGCCCAAGGTGCCGGTGGTGGCCGGGGCTGAGCCACGCACCAAGGACGCGGGGCCCGGCGCCGCCAGCAAACCTCACGGCGGTTGCAGTGCCTTTGGCTCCATTAATGCCAGGACTAGTAGTGAAATAGCAAAGGAGCTGGAGGAACAATTTTACACCCTGGTTCCTTTCGGTAGGAATGAGCTCCTGTCTCCTCTGAAAGACAGTGATGAGGTAAAGTCGCTGTGGGTCAACATTGACTTGGCTCTTTTGTCCAGGATTCCAGAGCGTTTGCCCGAAGAGCCACTGGCCATGAGCGCCGCAGCAAACCAGGCGCCCAGCCTCCCGCAGGGTAGTAGTGCTGACCCCCCCGCAGAGAAGGGTTTACCGAAATCTAGAAGGAAACGCAAGGTGAGCTTTGGGGGGACTGATCGGGGTGGGTGGGGGATTCTCCTGAAATGGGAGGCAAGCATCTCTTGCATCCACATCCAGTGCTCGATGGTGGTGTCTTCTCTGGGCCGGCACTTCAGAGCTGTGATTTGTCCCCCACTCGCCAAGCCCCAGGGGAGATGCCATCCCAAGAGGTGATGAAACTCTTGGCTATGAAGGTTCACAGCCCCTTGGAGATGGTGTTCACTGCTGGCACACAGCTTTCCATGCCTTAGCAAAGGCACTGCCTTTTTAGTAGGATGGCTTCACACCCACCCCTCCACCCCATCTCTCCCGCACACTTTCTGAGCCACCACTGGTGCCAAGGAGAAAGCCCCCTCCACCCCATGGCCACAGCTGTCCACCGAGGAGGCTTTCTGGTCCATTTGTACTGATCTGACCTCAAAAGTCACTCTGAACTGGAATTGCCACCTGCCCAGTTTCTGAACAGTTTTACTGTGCAGTCATCTGTCAACCTCTGAGATACCATATGTGTGCAGATTGATCTGTATATTTTTGAGGACCATTTATCTAAAGCAGTCTTTCCTTTTTTCATCTTTTTTCATGTTTTGGTTCTTTTTTTAGTATCTGAAAGGTGACAACCCTGTTCTGGCCACTTGTAGAGCCATAACAGAGAGCCCTGATAAGCTTTGAGATGTGTTTGTCTGCATTTTCTTTAGGAAGTAGCATGGAAGTGATTGCACAGTACAAAATGATGGGAAACAGGTCAAGAAAGAGTGGCAGAAGCAAAATATTTATATATTGCCAGTGTGATAGTTCCAGGCTGTACACCCAGAAGGAAACAGGAGGACATGACAGAAGGGCAAAATAAATGCAATCATTCTAGAAATGCTTAATCAGACTTTCTGTGGCACATATTATTTTACTCTTCTGTCTTAAAGCACTGCTGTTGTTGTTGGGTTTAGTGATATAACAAATAAATATAATAATAAATATATACTATATAATAAATGTAATATAATAAAGGCATCCCTGGCGTACCAAATTGCCCCTCAGCCTGAAATAAGAGCCTCAACAGGCAGCTGCTATGCAAACTCACCATATATGATCACCCTTCCCAAAAGGCTTTATGGGTAAGACTAATAAGTATGGATTATCGGGCATAACTGCAAAATTAGAAACAGGTCCTTGTCACTTCCACCTCTGTCATGATCTCAAGAAGATGGGCAAAGTAGAGACAGAAGAGGATGGTTAAGCACTGAGGTGTGAAAATATCTTCACTCCTGTGGGGTGTAAGCTACAACATTTACCCTGTAGCAGCAGCCACGGTGGCTGTGGATAACAGAAAATGTTGTTGCCATGCAGCAAGGCAGTAAGTACAGCAGAATCAACAGATCACAAGTAAAACTCAGCCAGTACTGGAAACTGGGGAGTTGTTAGAAGTGGAAAAAGATGTGGACGTTGCAGGAGATTGGGAAAGCGGAGACTTTGGGAGCTGATGATAGAACCTAAGGAACATAACATGAAACTAAATAGTGTCAGAAAACATTGGCTGTGTTCATACTAGTAGGCCAGATAGGGCCAGGGTGGAGTCCCAAGCGGTGTCACACAGTCATCCGCTTTGTTTAACTGTTAACATGCTTGCTAACATGGTTTTGGCCTGGGTCAACTTCTGTTCTTCCAGACAGTGCCTGACCCTCGCTCAGGAGCAGACTAAGGTCCCTTCCCAAAAGGCAATCCCAATGTGGCATACCCTGGTTTGAAGGCGGAGCAAGATGAGCGCATGAGTGCGAGCTGTGCCATGCTGGTTGGGCTCAGGACCAGTGGCTGATCTGTTGTATTTACTAGTATAGGGATAGTCACTGACGCCAAGAAGAGAGAGGGAGAGACAAAAGAGGTATGAGGTTGAGGACTAGGCAAGAGAAAAGCACACAGAAGATGGGCGAAGAGGGCAATATAAAGAAAAAATACCCCAAAGTGCAAGTAGGGGAGTGGTGGAAACAATTAAAGTTTTATATTCTGCTCCTTTTTTTTTTACGCTTACCTCTTTAGATTTTATTTTTTTAAGACATGGGCCAATCCTCTCTGATCCATGTTAGGTATATGCTCAAGGGAAGTGTCATCATTAATACCAAAATGCCAGAAAATACCAGCCCCTGACTTGCTGAAATACTTTTGGATCTGTAGTAAATCCAAAACCTACAAGATCATTATTTTTCTTTTCATTCAGTGTGAGAATGAGGAAGAGTGCAGAGACATCAAGAAGACTCACTTAGAGCGAGAGAGTTCTTCACGTTTAGCTGCCTCTGCCCACAGCATCACAACAGCAAATCACTGCAATATGAATGAAAACAGGTAAGCATTTTCCTTCTTATTTACCACTGAGTCATACAACTAGTTGCAGTTTAATGCCATGTGTTATTTTTTCCCTTTAATAGGATTTATTTTTTAATTATCACATTTTATGTTGAAAAATTACTCACTGCATTCTCCTTCCTTCTGGTTTAATGAACAAGTTAGCAGCTCCTGACACATTTATGTACTTGCATTTTTGTCCTATTGCACAAAGAAGTGAGTTCAAGTGTGAGGCTCATAGAATGAGTAATTATAGGTAGAGCAGCGCGATTGTCCAAGACATATTCCCAAACACTGTGTTGTAGGTACCAGTCCACACATGCAACCATCTTATAGCCTTTTCCGTCCTTACAATGTTATGAATTTTAAAGTTTGACTGTATAAATAGAATTATCTATAAACTCTGTGCAAAAGATTGAGAAAAATAGTCGTAACAATGCCTGCAATACTCAGTTCCAAAATATATCTGAGATCAAATATTTTTGATATTACAAGCAATCTGTTCTGTGGAATTAGTAAGTATTTTAGGACAAGGAACTCAGACTTTAAAAACAATGAGATTTTCAAAGGATGCAGGGCATGAAAAAAAGGATTAATATTTAGCATTTGCTGGCATGGTTTATGCACACAGACCCCTATCAATGTCAGATCAATCACATTGAGTTTCTCTGGAGGCTTCCAGCAGTCAAACTTAGACATGCATCTTTTCAGAGTTCAGCTGCATGCTGCTTAGCACAGGCTGGTCATCAGTATTTTGAAAAAAATCATTTCCTGGTAGTATCCGGGTATCGTAGTAGGCTGATGAGTTTGAGGAATCCTTGTCATTAATACTGGAAAAAATCATGGAGAAAACTAATATATAGAGAGTGCTTATTCAAAAATATGCATTCAATTTCTTTGTCCTGACATGTCACATATGTTTCATAAGGTGAAAACAATACACAGAACAGTTTGCTTTATTGTCGGTGATTGCATGCAGGCATGCCGTTCCTGTTACCGCAGTGTCGTATGTTTTATGTCGCATTCATTTTCAGAGAATAGCATGGCTGTCATAGCTTGCTATGTCACAGGGTTAATTCTGTGCTTCCTGGAAGCAGGACAATAATTTGTGTTTTGCTTGGCATTATCTTCAGTACTCCTGGTAGCAACTGTACATTAAAGAAACAAAGAAGAAGGTCTTAAATGTGTGCTTGCCTCCTAATTCTTCCCTGGTCTACCCTGCTTCCAAGATGTTTCTGTGGTTTATGCTACTGTAGGACATGATATCAAATGCTAATATTTCCGCAGCTGAGGAAGGGCTACTGAGGCTGTAGGTAAACCAGCAGTGCAGATATCGGGACCTCCTGTCCCTCTTGCAACCGGAGGCTGCTCATGCTGGCACATCCCCCCTCCAGTTATGCCACCATAGCTGCCTGTAAGAGTCTCCTGTAAATTAGGTCAAGAAACTTGTCTGAAACCAGAATTCTTTCTTTTTTTCTTTTTTTTTTTTTTTTCTGTTGGCCGGGTTATTATTATTCTGCTCCCAGCAAAACCACACAGACAGTTTTGTCAGCACAGCTGAGAGCTGGTAGCAAAGAGAGGAGCAAAAACACCTTCAGACACGAGCATTTTCTACTGTGGGATTACAGTCTGAGGTGCAGACTAAGCAAGGCCCTGTTTGACAAGAAAGTCTGCAGCGTCAGGAAGAGATACCCCAAATATCTTGCACCTATGTCAGATGCCACAGTCTGCGCAGTCCCAGCAGATGACAGCTCACTGCAAGTTGTTCTGCATGGCTTCTCTGTATAAGATGATTGTTCTGCAGTTTGACTGCTCACAATACATTTAGGTGGGCCCTACGCAGTGTGCCAAAGGCCATGTAGAAGGTCTGCAGCGCAACTAGAAATCATAGCTACTCCTCACAAGCTCTGGGCCAAGTTTTTGAGGTTTGGGTACACTGCCAAAGAGCTCTGGCTTCTCTTGGATGCTTTAGGTTTACACTTTGACAGTGATGTATAAACATGACTAGCCAAGGCATGGGTTTGTGTTTGAAAAGAGGAAAAGAAATGACAGCATCAGCCTGTACTTTCAGAATAGTGCTACAGATCTTATTTTTCTTGGGGTGACGAGAAGAAGGGCACAATTTTCCATCTTACACACTCTGATTCTTGCTTTTGTAAACAGCATTGGTCATTAAAGCAAAACAGTTCACGTTGTGTTTTAAAGGTACTACACTGTGGGAAACAGGAAAGGTTCTGAACTATGATTCATGGCTTCTTTCACAGCTAGTTTTTAAAGACTTGCCAGATAAATGGACAAATGTATGATAAGAGCGCATTTAATTAGCTCTGTTCCCTGAAATTATGTGCAGAAATAAAGTATAGTTTGTACCATATTCTTTTTTGCGATTCCATTAAGTGTATACTGTCTGATATACTAACTATAAAGAAGTGAGAATTGTCCATAAAAAGTAATAGGCTGAATAAAGGGGACTGTGACAGGGAAAGGTATTGCGTTAAAATACTCTGTCTGACCTTAATCACAGTTTTAGTCTCAATGCAAACTGTCTCCTTAAAAAACTTCTATTTTGTGTGTGTTGCTTTAAGATTTTCATCTAGATATTTTCTTCGAATTAATGCGTCTGAAGTTTATTTCTGGGCATATTTTTACAGTCTGTCTGACTTGTCCGTATCCAAAGCTTCTTCCAAAGAAATGAAAGCTGAAAATACTCTCTGTGGTATAACTTTCTGCTTTAGAAGACAGAGCAGCTCACATTTCTCTGCGTCTACTGTTTGCATATGTTTCCTTTTGTCTGCACTACCAGCCTATCTTTCTTTGTCTTCAAAATCTGTATTAGATTAGTATAAACAGTGCTACCAAAGGCTGGGCACTGAGCACAAAGACAAGCCAGTCGTCTTTAAGCACATTTCCTGTTTTAGTTGACATATGGTTTTATTGCCATGGCTTATAAATTGTCACCTGTAATGGTGAAATAGGGCTCCATAACCTGAACTTACACTTCGGAGCCTAATCTTCGTCTCCAGCTATCCCTTAAGAAATGGTGAGCAAGTGGCCATTTATCTCTGTATTTTTTTTCAAGTACTCTGATGCAGACTTTATATTAACTCCAGAATTACAATTTGCCTTGAAGGGAGAGAGGAGAAACATGATACAAATTTGTAAATGAACTCTTGGTCCCAATACTGTAAGCTTGTTTCCAGATACCAATAGACTTTATCCTGCCAGCAGGTTTTAAATTCAAAGTTTTGGTAATATATAAAACATTTACCTTTCTCAAACCCAGCTTTGTGACACTCCATTACTGTAATTTCCATTTCCAGCTTGGCAATACCAATAAATAAAAATGAGAAAATGCTTCGGTCACCCGTCTCTCCCCTCTCTGATGCATCAAAACACAAATACTCCAACGATGATTTAACTCCCTCCAGCAGACCTAATGGCAGCAGTCTATTACCTTCCATCTCCTCCAGCAAAAAACATAAGGGTGAAATCCAGTCGCAGCCACATCCTGGAGACTTCAATGTAAGTTTATGCTGTTGTTCATAACATAAAGCCTAGCTGAATATTTTTCGCTTTGTATTGCATTCTGTGTTAGTTTTGCAGAATGTTATGCAAAAAAAACTGTAATAATGAATGTTGTAGTGTAAGTTCAGTTTTTCTGGTTTGGAGTTTAGCCAGGCACAGAAGAAAAAAAAAAAAGAGGGCAGTCTGTAAAGCGGGCAAATACCAAAGCCTACATAAGCAAAAGGTGAAAGCTAATGGCCAAAAACTAATGGCTTTAGGCCTCCAGAGTATTGCTTGGGCATAATGCAAGCCCCCTACATCCAAAAGTGTGATGCATGAGGCCTCGACTGTATCAGGCCTCTTCTCAGCCCCTGCCTAGCCATGAGTGTGCCTGCAAACAAGTTTTCCTACATGTCTTACAACCAACTTTCTCCAACACTTCTACTTACTCTTGACACCGTTGAACAGCTTAGCATCAGCCTCACAGCTCAGCTCCATCAGAGCCCAGGTATTCACATACTGATCAGAGAGTCTTGCTCGCACTAAATGTGTCCAGCGTGCTCTTCCAGATAAGGCCTTATTACTACACCACATGGTAGCCACTGCCTCCAGAGCATAGAGAAAGAGGAGTAGATGCTGCTCCCGTTTATGCATGAGTTCTGTGATTAGGAAGCTAGAGTAAAGAGCCTGTTAGCTCTTCTGAGTGAAGCAATTCACATCTCCCTCCCTCTCTCACCTCTCAAAATCATACCCTACCCTCCAGCCTACAGGACACTGCCAGTAGAAGACCAAGGGCAGGATATTGTCATGTCCTCCCCTTGAAGCTGTTCTGCTCTGTGTGAAATACCTAGAAGAGGCAATTTGGGTACCATCATATTGATGTCCACTGCTGGAGTGTCTAGTCAAGCTGTTAGGGCACTCTGCTGCTGCTAGAAAGGCCCATGCTCCTCTCCTTGCTACAAAAGCCATTTATATATTTTATCCTATATCTATTTGTTGTATTTGTTATTTGATACATAAGAGGCTTCAAAAGCCTAAGTATTAGTGCCTAAGCGACTTTCAGAAAAACAAACTACCTGAGTTGTAGCAGTGGTCTCTTCCAGTCACTTTTGCTGTGGGTAGCTGGCACCACAGTATATGTTAAGTATATATTAGTTATATATGTATATACTTAAATGTATTTATTTTTTGAGAGTGGAGGGGGAAGTAGTAACTATAATCTTCATTTTGGACACTTTTTAGAAAACAAGCTATCATAAATTCTGTGTTTCAATAATATCTCACAGATGCTTTTGATAAATTCAGATAAAATTAATTACATAAAAATAATGCAATAAAAAGTCATTTTAACATATCTTAGTTATTAATTTATTTTTCCACAGATTAACTATAATTTTTTAAACATTTTAACTTCTAAAACACAAGTTTAGAGGTTTATAACCCATTCAGAATTATAATTATATGATTCTTCACTGGGTATCTTGAAAACAATTTAAATTCCTTCACAGGCAAATGTGCTGGAAATCAAAAGTAAAAGGTGATTGCTTTATGATCCACACTCTTAGCAAATGCGTTTCACTGAAAATTTCTGCATAGCCTAGCAATGCCCCATTTGGTCAACATTTTAACAACGTTTGCAATAAAATTCTTATGTATCTGGTTATTCATCTGAAAACTTTAGCCTG